GTTACATAACTTATATATTTGATATATCTGATATATCTGATATATCTAACATAACTAACATTTCTAACATGTCTGACATATATGATATATTTCATTTTATTTTCTCTTCTTAATAAACATATTTTTATCTTTAGTTAAGTGTTCTTTAATTAAATAGATCTATTATTACAATTATTCTAATGAATTTAGTAAGCTACCTATAAAAGAAACAACACTCAAATACCTTGTTTAACTGTAGTGATCCACTAAAATCATACGTTAATAATATGATAAATTTATTTCTTTTATTTATATTTGTGTATTTGTAAAATATCTTTTGATTGTATAACAATTTGATATGTGTAAAACTAAAAGTCATCAATAAACTAGATTTATCTTATAAGTTATCTTGAATAAAGTTCCATTTTGAATTATTTTTTTTAATAAATATATAAACTTTATGTAACAAATTTCAGGTTAAATAAGATTTTCAAAAAGGTTATTAAAAGTTAGAACTTGCTTTTCTAAAAAAGGAAGTATCTTTAATTATTTTGAAATTAATTAGAACTTTGTATTCTTTTTTAACATAAATTACAAAATGCAATATCTTAAATAAAATAAGGTTTAAAATAAACTCACGTTAAGTTTACATATTTTCTCTATTTTTATATTTTCTGTGATTATCAAATTATGAATAATTTTAAAAAACAAAACATTAAAAAATAATTTTAATAGTTTCTGTAATATAAAAATATTACATTCAATTTAATACAACATAATTAAGGAGATCATATCAAGAAAATTGGATTTTTATGATTTAGTAATCTATATTACAGTCAAATCTTGAAATAATGAACTCTTGATATAGCAAATTTTTAAATCAAATACAGTCGATCCTCTCTATAGTCATCTCCTATATAATCATACCTCTTCTTTATTCATATTATAATTCTGCCCTAATTTTTAAATAATAAAATACTACTTTTATAATCACAATAATATATAAAAATATAATCATATCAATTTTAGTCTCATCTTATAATAAATGTAAGAAAATCGCCTTCTATATAATCACATCAAATTATATCCCTTTATATAATCACAATAAATCATATCCTATATTAATTTTATTATACAAATAGTATCTAAAATAAAAATGGTACAGCAATTGATTTCAAATTTACAAAATGTTGCAACATAAGCTAAAATTAGTTGTAACATATATAGATTAAAACTAATCACAACGTAAGTTGCAACATTAAAAGTTGCAACATATTAATTACAGTTCCCATCTTTAATCTAAAATATCAAAAATAAAAAAAGTTCAATATCACTCCATTTCTTATGAAATAATTACCATTTGAATTCTCGAAACTAGACAAATTTAATGAGCTAATAAACATTGATTTTGGATCATCCAATCACAAGATAATTATGATTGAATTATTAGCTGAAATTATAATTCAATAAATTCTACTTAAAAGAATTCGATTTTAACTTTCAATCATGAATATCTCATGATTAGCTGATTGTAATTCAATGTATATTAGCTCATTGAATTCGTCTAGTTTTAGGAATTTAAATAGTTTTTTTTGTTTTTTAACGATGCAGTACTGCCATTAAAGATGGTTTCTATAATTATTTTTAAATTTTTTAACTAGTTGAAACTTAAGTTGCAACACTTTGAGTTGCAACATTTTATGAATTTTTATATTAAAATAAATTTACAAGGAGTTGTAATCAAGTTGCAACTTCTTAATTATGATGCTCATATTTAACTGCCATTAAGTTTATTAATTTTATATTGTATACTAAATAAAATTTATAAAGAAAAAATACAAAGTAGATAAAAACTAAACTAATGACTATCTCATGTAATCCTATTGCTAATAAAAGCTTAAATCCATTTAGATCGACTGATCACTGGAATCCCTTTTTGATCTAACCAAAAAATCCATATCTAATGATTAAGTCATCAACAAGAAATTCAAATAAGATTGTCAATACAGCAATGTAATTTCTAAATGGCCTTCGATCCCAACTTCTAAATAAAATTTAAAAACTAACAACCCTCCTAAGAAGGGAAATAAGTACAAATAGAAATTATTAAAAAAGACAAACACAACTCTATAAAAACCTAAATGTCTGATTAATTTCAGATATAACGACCACCTGACCAAAGAAAATGCATCCAAAGAAAGATCTAAACAGAGGCTCTTTATACTTATAGATTCATAAGTACAGAAAAAATATCATATGGAATCTACTACGAGAACCTTACGATGAATTAATAGATAGTAACCTATACCCTCTACCTGGTTAACAGGAAGGAACAGATCTAGACAAAGCGGACTTACATTGAGTAAGTAAATAGCAATGACCATTCAGAGCTCCATTTAAAACTATGGTAAACTGACAAGATACAAACCATGTGGTAGCTACCATCACACCATATAGAAGACCTCATAAAGAAACAAAGTAATAATTCATGCTAAATTTGCACGTGATCTTTGATGACAGAAGATCTGCAAAAAGGCAAAAGCCAATCAAAAGAGAGTATATTGTTTAGGAAGGGAAAAGGTGTCATTACATAAGATTTGTTTATCCAAAGTATGTTGATTATGATTGTCAGTTAGGATACCCTCTTGATGCCTACTTTTTAGTAGGCAAAAAAGAAAAAGAGAAAAATGGAAAAAAAATTTTCGAAAAGAGGTAAAGAAAAAATATTTTAACAAAAAATAACACTGTTTAGACTATTTTGAAAAATTTTATGTGGATAAGGATGTGGAAAACAAAGAGAGGAATATTTTTGAAAGGTAGAGTTTTTTTGTTTATTCGTAAGCTAAGCCACGGTCGCCGTTGAACAGACACTTTTTTTAAGTAAAAATTCTTGGAAAAATTCTAATGAGAAAGATTGTGAGGAATCGAATCCAGGAATTTGAATGGTAGTTTTTTCATGAGAAATAGAGTGGTATTGATCAAGATCATACTCTTTATTTAGATTATTTATATAATAATTATATAATATGATGATATCGATTTTGACTATTTTACAATATTGATTAATTTTGGTTTTATGTTTGATTTATACTAATATATAATTAAATTTATACTTACTTTCTTTGAAATTTTTAACAAAACTTTAAAATATTACATAATTTATTATAAAATATTAATTAATATAAAATTTTATATATAATAATATCAATAATATTTTTATATATAAGTAATTATAATAATAAATCCCTTAGTATAAATAAGCACACCTTTATATTATCATACCATTTTATGGTCCTAGAGGTGTGATTATAAAGAAGGTTAACTGTATATTAAATATATCTTACTATAGTAAATCAGCCAATTAAATTCTTTAAAAAATTTATTATAAGCTTATAACAAAGTTAAGATCCAGATCCTAGAGTTAGATATATCAAGAGTATATTGTATATGATTTAATATATATTGTTAAACTTTTTTTGAAATCAAAATGTGAAGGAGAAGATTTATGTTAGACAGATAATTTAATTAGTTTAGCCTAATACATAAATAGATAATGTAATATTATAAATATTATATAAATTTGACCAAATATATACTTAAAATCTCACTCATATATCCTAACAAAAATTTTATGATCAAAAATGAATTCTTTTAATTATTGTTATATAATTTATATATTAAAAACCAAAATTAAAATTAGGGGTTAGTTTATAAAGATAATGTTGATTAAAAAAACATTAAATTAAATAAACTGAAAGAATAATTTAAAATCTTATAGATTATTGCAAATATAGTATCAAAGTTAAAAAATATTAATTTAGGACTCTGAACTATACTAATATAACTCACATTTGAGTTTGCATAGAATTTATATGTAAACTTTACCAAAAGTTGCTTATTTTTACAAATTTACTTATTCTACATACCCCATTATCTCAATAATTAGTGTTTCAAATTTAATGAAATTTATACCATTGGATTTGTCTAATCGAAAGGAATCTAATGGTAGTAATTTTATCTTTCTAACTTTAATATTGACCGAGATATACCATACAATATAATTTTAATTGTGTGTTTATACTACATTTGTGAGTTCTATTAGTATAGTTCGGGGTCCTATTAATATGTTAATGGATCAGATATATTACAAATATAAAACCAATTATTACTATAGATAAATTAGGATAAGAAAAAAAGAATAATTAGACCAATTTTTTTTGATAATACTAATATAATAATGAGCTTATGTAAACAAATATCATGCTGTATATAAGAATTAATTCATTATCTCAAAAATACAAAAATATAATTATTTAAGAAAATTATCTTAATAGAGTAAAAAAAAAAACTTTTATAAATATTTTACAAAGTAATAGATATAAATTATTGTGAGAATGTGGGTGATCTGTATTTAATATGTAATATATAGAAGCTTTGCAGTAGAAAGGAAGGAAACTCTAAAATAAAATAATGTTAAATCTGAACTTATTTAACTAAAAAAATCATATTTAGCTTATAAAGTAAATTTTTAATTTTTTAGAGTTTCTTTTCTTTCTACTGCAAAGCTTCCATATATGGTTATGAAACATTTGATGAGCTTGCCAAATTTATTTAGCATTATGTTAGCAATCTTCATATTTAGGTAATAATATTCTTTATAATTTTTGTAAAAAAAAAATTTATTTGATACTATAAAAATGATATAAGTGAATATTATTTAAAAATATTAATAAATAAATGAATGTATTGTAAAAAAAAAATTAAAATAAACTAAGTGTAAAAATTCCAATATAAACTGAACCAGAGCATCTTAGTATATCCATAAATGTTGTAATTAATTACATAAATGTTTCATAAATTTCGACCAAAATTAAAACGAGTCATCTTAATGTATTGTTATTTGTTAATTTAATTTTTTAAATAATATTTTAATACAGTATTTACGGTACTTAAGCGGCCAATACTCCCTGAGGTTTTAAAAATATTTTATTAAAAGAGAAAATTTTTGGATTAGCAAGTTATTATCTTTTTTGAGTCCATATTCTAAAAGTAGTAAATGAAGGTTTGGTTTTTTTTAACTCGTCTGACAAACCATTTCCTATCATATTTTTAAAATCCTCTTTAGAAATTCCTATTTCAGAACTTAAAATTTGAACCGTCATTTCTACACTACAAAAATCTACCAAATTCTCATGACAGGCTAACCCAATTTTACCACCATTGGGTCCCACAATATACGTTCTTTCATCTCGACAAACTTTTGTTATGTTTTGTTGTGATCCAAGCATTGTTTCAAGATCATTTATTATAACATTTAAGTCCACACCTTGTTTTAAAAGGAACGAATTAACTATAATTAAATATATCATATTATGTTAATAAACAGTACAATAAATTGGGATGAAAAAACGAAAAAATTCATTAATAAACGCACTTACAACTTTTAAATATTTTCTGCATAATTGGTCCATAGCTATTAAACATTCGAATTGTTTCGGTTAATTCGATATATCCACCTGGTTTAGTTACCCTAATTTACGACGATAACAAAATCCGTAAAGGTGCACATATACTATGTATGATCAAGATAAAAAAAAAAATTAAATACCTAACGAGTTCAGGTAAAACGAATTCCCATTGATTTTTTTGTAAAACACTAATCATTGTATCTTGATGCACAAAATCAAATTCATTATCAGGAAATGGTAATCCATCCAATATATCTGCTTCAATAAAATTTAAATTTGGAGGTTTTATCTATTAAATTTATTTTTTTTGTTAATTTCTTATCATTTTACCTAAATTGAATTTATCGATAAATATTATACCTCTTGCGGATATATTGCCTGAAAATCAAGTCCAACAAAGTGAGAATTCTCATAATTCGTTGACATATCTAATAACCATGTTCCAGAACCGCATCTTAAATTGTAATATTATATATATTAAAAATTATATTTATGAAATAATTTTCTAAAATTGTTAATTCTATCCTTTAACTTACGCAACATCCAATATTTTACATCCTCCTTGAATTAGCCTTTCTTTAATTGGGGAAGAAAAATTACTTTGAAATAAATGTTTTTTAATAAAATGAAATGCATGTAAATTTCCAACGTAGTCAACGTCACTCGATAAGTAACGGCCTGATTGAATCGCTCCATCGGATTTTGTTTGCACCACATTCTCAGGTAGATTTTGTATTTTTAATTTTCTACCCTTTAAACGTGAATTGTGAATACCCATAATATTAAATATGGACAAATTAAAACTGGGACATGGAATATTGTTTTTCCTTAAAAAGAATGAAATGAATGAAATTAATTTGTTAATACATTAAATTTTACGTTTTGGGATTGTAGTAATAAGCTGGAGTTCTTTTATAAGAAAATGAGGTTCGGTAGATTATCTTTTAAATAAATTAAATTTCCTTTTATGTTAAGTCCGAATAAATTTTTGTTATGTCGTGATTGTTTTGCATCGCACTACCCGGAAGAAAGTAATCGGGCAATAGTGATAGTTTTTTTTTTTTTTTTTTTTTGTAAATTGAGACAAATATATTAATAATGAGAAAAGGTTACTAAAATTGGCTAATATATCGTTCTTTATAAAGTGTAATCATAATCTAAGAGAAAACTCGTAAAATTATTTTGAAATAAAACAAGTTAGAAAAATGACTAGAATTGGAAATTACTTTACAAATACATTTTTATAAAAAGAAAAATTGTATCAAATTGACTATAAAAATGTATTTGTAGAATTGGATGGCACAACAAGTTATTAATTATAAATAAAGTTTTGATTTTTAATGCGTCCGTGCACTTTTTTCTTCTAAGATAGTGTAGGTTTGCCGAGCCGGTATTAATATTAATGTAACGGATAATAAAAAATCAATACATCGCGCGTCCTGCAAATTATGAAACAAAATGACTAACCGATTTTCTTTGATGGTTATGTAATATTAAATATTATAACATATTATATTATGATTTGTTAGATAATTATCAGGTAATAGAGGAGAAGGTTGCGTTCAGGTAACGTTACAAAGATCAGTGACTTCGTTTATTTGAGAAAGAGTTTTGCATTTTATTAAAATATTAAAATTTAAATGGTTTGATTAATGTAATTATCTAATCTAGGTTGCTGATCATGTCCGCAGTTACTTAAAAAAACGCCATTTCAATAAAAATAGAAACACAAACTTATAATAAATGCTCCCTTTATAGACAATTTAATGTTTACATCTTCTTATTCTTAATGAATCGAATATTTAATTTGTCAAACTTTGAATATTCGAATATACAGTATATATTTACATAATCTAAATTTTAGGTCTGTCAACCTTGGAGTATTAAAATATTTATATTATTTTTGTCCATACTGGTTTCTTCTAATTCTTCCGTAAAATTATTTTCCATCATATCTTTAAATTTCTCTTAAGAGGCTCCTATTTCAGAATTAAAAGTTCAATCGTCATCTCCTAGCAGTAGTAATTAAATTTGCATGGGTTCTAGCCCGAAAAATGGTCACAATATTTTGATTATTTAATACATTAATCAATTCTCATCTCTTTCTAGATGATGTTCGTTAAACTACATATCCAGTAACTGGTAAGAAGCATTAATTCAAGATCATTTATTATTACTATTCATAATTTGAAGCGACAGATTTTTTTTTTGAGGAAACAAAAAAAAAATAAAATAAAAAAGGAAAGATATAACATAAAAAAATTGTTAGATAATGAATGAATATACAGTAAGCTGGACTGTTTTTTTATAACATCATGGAATCAAACTTATACATTTACAATAAAAATATTTAATTTCATCATTAAGTGTTTAGGGTTTATATAGCGATAGGTTCGGTTATGTCCAAAAGTTGATACATTATAATTTGTATTTTCGTAAGATCAAGTCGAATTAACCGTAATGGTTTGGATATAAATAATAATAATAACAATAATAATAAAAAGAATTTAAAACGCTAAAAAAAAAAAAAGAATAAGACATATATATATATACATGTACAGTATATATTTATTTAAATAAAATAAACAGTAACGATCATCGTAGTGCTTATAGTGGTTACTTATCTTATATGTCTGCATGCGGATATCACCGAAAAAGCATAACTAGATGTTCCATAATTTTTTATTATGAATATTTTATATAATATTAATCCGGGAATATATCTATCTTTAAGGCCCGTGCATGTAAAAAGTCATCGATCAATCGATCAACGTTTAACTTCTAAATTTGTAGAATTAAAATGTAAAAATAATTAACTTTACGTCAATTTTTTTTTAAACTGCATATTTATATAATCAAATTAAATGATACTTGTAGTGATTACAAATCATTACAAACGATTACGCCATGATTACATGTAGTTAATGTTGAGTGTATCGTCAGTTTAAGAAAAATCCTTACTTTTGTGATACAGCGCGTGATATTTTGTAAAACATGAATATAATCTTTTCTTTTTGATTACTCTAATCCATCCATTATACTATTCTCATCTTTTATTTTACATCAGAATATAATTCACTTGTTACCTATATGTCCATTCAAATCGTTTTAAAGATACTAATTAAGAAAGTTAATCGAACGTCAACAATTTGGTGATATTATATATAACCTTGATTTGTTTATTCGTCTTGATAAGTATTGATAATTTAAATTATTAAAAAATGTGTAAAGAAAAAGCACAAGAAAGATGATAATTATCAAGACCCTTACATATAATTTGTAGATAGGTTATCGTTCAGTTTCCACCAAGTGATAATCAATCAAAATGCGCTTTATATTTTATTAATACGTCGGGCCTTCCAGCGTTAAGCTACGCAACTACTGGAGATTCCAAACGTCAGACTAATAAAATCAAATAAAAATTTCTGAGTGATCAAGTTATCACATACATATGGTGCCGGAAATCTATACTCAAAAATAAAATTGTAACACTTAAAAATTTTTATAACTCTTTAAAAAATAAAAATTTTAAAAAAATAAACCGGTATTTTATTCTTGATGAATACTATCAAATTTTCGAAATAATGTTTACATAAAAAGTTATAAGCATTTAAAGTCGGAACAAATCAAATCACGTGTATGTAATTTTATTGGTCAGAAGTTTTTATAACTCGGGCCAACATTATAATAATTAAATACCGGCCCGAATCATATTAGATTCGGATATTTGATTTTTTGATTTACTAAACTTTTTTTTTGATCTTACAATTAAAGTTTGAAATTTAATTACACTTTTAAAATGCCACATAAAACAAAAAGGCAAGAACAAATTAGTAAAATACCTAAATAAAAAAAGGATGCTATATAATGTATCTCATAAGGTTGCTGGACGAAATCAAGAGTTTAAACAGATGTCTAAATGGTAAAAGTAAAACTTGGTTAAATTATATTAAAACCTTATTAAAAAATTTGCAAAATTTGGAAAAAGGTAAAACTATATCAAAGCTTATAAAAATGGCGAAACTATATCAAACACTTAGTAAAAATTTAGCGAAACTAAAGGTTTTACCATTTTGACAAATCCAAAATAAGTTTAGATAAGCAACCTTAGTATCTCATGATCAAATTATCATTGAAGGAGATACAAAATGGATGGAAAATAACATTTTTGAAGAATGGATAGAAGATTAAATCAATGAGAAAGATTCAGAATATGAGATTATTAAATTAGCAGAAGGTGAAATTGTAGAAGACTAAACAGAAGAAAATTTAGAGGAGTTTGAGGAAATGGGAAAGAAGCTTATCACTGAAACTCTTTATTGGCATGAAAATGCTACTTATAGTATTAGAGGAGTATATTGGAAATTTGAGAACTACAGTTTAGAGAAAAGAAGAAAAAAAGAAAAATTAAAAGAAAATACAAAAAGAATGAGAATAATTAATACTTTTTTTAAAAATTCTAAAAATTCATTCACATTATAATCATCTTTATTTTTATCTTTAGAAAGTTCTTTACTTGTTTATAACCATTTTTATCTTTATCTAAAAATTTACATATCTATTTAAAAGAAATAAAACAACAATATTTATTATTAAAATTTGCAAAAAAAATAAAAAATATGACTATTTACGCTGTTTAAGCATATGAAAATTTATTCAGCTATTATTAGATGAATAAGGAAAAATAAATGCTAGTAATAATATTGCACAAATCATATGAAATAAGTGTATTTATTTTATAAAAAATAGGAAAACTTCTTACTTATTGTCAAAGAAAGCATTTAAAGTTAAAAAGCTTATTAAATAATGAGGATTTTAAAGAAGAATACTAAATATGATTATGACAATAAATATCAGAATCACATTCTTCTAAAAATATAAAAATATATATTGAAGAAATAGTATTTTTAAAATTAATGGGATATATTAAAATGAATATAATTTCTGAAAGAACTTGTTAGACTTATATATATTTGTAGGATATAAGATAATGAGAAAAAAGTTATTATGATAGTGTCACAGAAAATAATTCTCTTTGTACATGTATTTAGCTAAATTACTTTATTGTAATAAGTAAGTTCCTTATTATCAGATTTTATAACCTTAGGAATCTCACGTTCTACAAGTATCTGAAATGCTTTAGAATTACTTCATTTAACTTTACAAATTTAAAGGTTTAGAGACTTAGTGAAAATGTAGAAATTTTATTTATTCTAAATGATGAACTAAAAAAATAAATTAATGTAGTAGTTCATAATCAAATCCTAGATAATGGAAATATAGAAGAAAAAAGTAATTATATTTCAAAGTTGATTTCTTTATTACTTGAAAATCATAAATAAGATTGCTTATCTAAACTTATTTTAGATTTGATATAACATTAAACCTTTAGTTTCACTAAATTTTTACTAAGTATTTAATATAATTTCGTTATTTTATAAGCTTTGATATAGTTTTATCTTTTTCTGAATTTTGCAGATTTTTTAATAAGATTTTAATATAATTTAACTAAGTTTTACTTTACCATTACTATTTAGACATTTGTCTAAATTCTGGATTTCATCTAGCAACTTTAATTACAAGTGTTTTAAAATTTATAAGAGAATTAATTTACAATTTGAACAAAAAGCTATTCTATTTATACAAAAATTAATTTATTATGACTAATTAATTGCTATACTATAAACTAACTAAATTTGTAACTATAAGCGTTAATATATATATTATAACAAGTATATAAAATATAGTAAATATAAGTAATATAATAGCTATAGTGAATATATTAAGAATAATAAAAATAATATAAATAACAAAAATAATAAAAATAATAAAATAAATAAAATCATAGACATTAGGCTCAGGTGAATCTGTAGAATCAGAAAAATCAGAAGTTGTGTTATTGATCATTCAGCGTAATATTTGATAGACTTATTATATCATCATTTTATAGATCATTAATACTCAACATAGTAATGTTGATTTCTGACGTTGATAATGAACATGAGTGGCTAGATGTAATAATGTATAAAAAGGAATATTTAAAAAAATGTTTAAATATAAGTAAAACTCCAGCTTAAGTCAAAAGAATCAAAAGAAAAGAATTGATATAAGTAACACATGACAAATATTATTTTTATACAAATAATAGACAATGAAGGATCTAGATAAAAAAAGATGATAATATTCTATGTTCAAAATATATTGAATGCTTTATATTATATTTTAACCTTTCTTTATCAATGTCACAGGTTATTATAATTATCTGATAAATAATTACAAGTAAATCTACACATCAAAAATAAAGAGTCATTTGTTTTTCATTCTATACAGACAGATAAATATTGAAATCAGAGCATATGTTAGATTAGGTTTAGGCTTTTCTTATTATTCATATTATTTTTAAAAAAAAAATTAAAAATTTTTTTTACTTATAAATAAAGCTTGTTATTAAGCAATTCTAATATTTGAAGTATTGTAGCTAAAGATGATACCATAATTAAGAAGTTGCAACTCGGTAAGTTGCAACTCCTTGTAAATTTATTTTAATATAAAAATTCATAAATAGTTGCAACTCAAAGAGTTGTAAGTTAAGTTACAACTAGTTAAAAATTTTAAAAATAATTATGGGAACCATTTTTAATTACATCATTACATTAGTTAATAAACTATAATATTATAACAGATGATACATTTATTGCATAAAATAATAAAAAAAAATTGTGAGATTATGCATTTTATCTAATGCTTATATTTGCGAATATTTACTTCCCAGAATATTTATTATATTTAAAATACCTAAATTCAGAGAAATGTAGCTAAAATACATGATAATTGATATATTAATAAATACAGTGAAAAATGTGTTCAATTAATGATATTTCTGAATAATCATAAATCAAAGGATATTAAACAAGTACTTAAAAAATATAACTTTTAGCTATTAAAAGAAATTCATTTAATATGTGAATAGTATTCTGGAAAATAAGATAATATTAACCTAAAAAGATCAAATTATTATATGTATAAAATAATGTTATTACAATCTGATTTTTGCAAATTAACAGTTAATATTAGAGGAAATAATAATTAAAGCAAGTTAAAACAAGGCAGACCTTTAAATGATATTTAAAATTTCATTACGAATACAATTTTATAGAGTGATATTAGAATTTTGTAAAATAAGAGACCAGATGATTATGCAGTTATATAATATAACCCAAATGATCTTCAAGAATTGGAAAATGTGACACATTCAAGTACAAATGATCAGCATGTAGATTGATTTACAAAATCAATTTGCAAAAGTGATCTGTGAAATTAACCAGATTAATTAATAAAGAAATGAAGTAATAGAATAGATCATTAGCCTATGATGACATGCGTAACCTTTTAAACTAGTAACTCCAAATAAGAACTTTAAGGGAAACTAAAGGCTAAGTATAAAAATGTAGTAATAATTTAAGAACAATATAATTATATTTTTTACATCTTTTCAAATATATATATATTATAGTTATAGGACTATTGCATAGCGATTAGGTAGTCATTATTCAATTATTACAACAGAATTATATAGAGAAAGATGAGGAAATCATTACATAGTTTTTATGCAATAGATAGTAATTTAGTGTAGAAATTTTATTATAAATAAGCTGAGTTTTTCATCATGTATCATTAGAAATTTAGGAAGAAATTTAAAAGAATAAAACTTAGAAAATTTTAAAGATAATTTATAAGTTAATAAAAATCTTTACTAAATTGTCTCAGCAAATCAATCACTTGTGTCAAACATATTTTATGTCAAACTACTTTGTATCAATTGTGTTTAATATTATTGATTTAATTGTGTTAATAAATCTCTAAGTATTAAATAATTACCTTATATCAACCACCATGTTTAAGAGTCACTAACGAGTTAAAATATTATTATTGTGAAATACTTTAAGCTGAGCATCACCAATTTGATTATAATAAGTTTATTATAATGTTATCAAAGTAATTTCTCTAATGTCTTAGGAAATTATGAGTCACTGTAGTGGATTGAAAGTCTTCATACTTGCTAATTCGAAAACTTAATTGTGAAAGTATACTGACATCAATCAAAATTCAAGTTAATTAAAGTCTCTCTCAAATTATCGTAAAGATTGAGCTAAATCTTGCTATTACTTAATTGATTACGTGTTTTAGTCCACCTAATCAACAGTTGGATAACAATACAGATTTGCTAAAAAAGGTTTTAAAAGTTTTTATTAGTGTTTTTATAACTATTATTCGTAAGTTTGCATATAAGTTATGAAGATATATAAATATATATAATAAAGGATTAAAAGGTAGAATTGCTAAATAAGCAGTTAATAAATATATAAATTTATCAGAGAACATTGAAAAATTAATGAAATAATATTATATAGTTAGTTAT